TGTGTGTGTGTGTGTGTGTGTGTGAGTGTGTGTTTGTGGAACACAGGAAATCGTCTAAGTTTGTTTACATCAACTCAAACTCAGGAACCTGTTCACCAAAATAAAATAAAGGGTTTTCTTGTTTTTGTCCTCGATCACAGATCGTCCACAGTTTTCAACTGAAAGACAAAAGTCTCTTCTCTTGGATGCGACTGTGACTCAGCAGTGTCTAAATGAAGTGTTTTTCTCTTAACAAGCAGATGATTCATCGTATTTATTAAAGATGGACGTGTTGTTTTGCTCTACATGTGAAGTTTCCATTGAACATGTTGTAATGTGTTTCTCTGTGCGACGGCTCCTCAGTTGATTCCATCTGACAAAGATCGATTCAGTGCAGTCGACTGGTTATATAACTGCAGCAGGTTCATTTTTAACATGATTATCATCTGCTACTTGACAAGGAATAAAAAAACATGCATATTTATTTTATACATTACATTTTTTTTAAAGCTTTTATTTGTATTGTCTTGTGTTGCTTTCAGAATTATTTTATGTAAATCTCTTTCAATTGTTGAAACGTGCGATAAGAATAAACTTGGAAAGAATAAGCACGCACTCACTGTGTGAAAAGTATTAACAGTAATTATTTTACTTTATTTTAAAACCACTAATGCTGAGATTTAATTTGAAAGTTCATGTGAAAACTATAAAGAACAAGTTCCCCTTCCTTACCTCCACCTGTTTCCCCATGCTGAACTCCACAGGACATCCAGACTTAATCCTCTGCAGCAGCAGGCAGACGGGACTCTGCCCCGCCACCATACTGCTCAAAACACAACCCAGCAGTCTGGAAACAGTCCGATACGAAGAATTACAGCAGAGCGTCCAGGGGAAGAAACTGAGGAGTCAGGAGAAAGTGACGCTGATAAAACGAGTATAGTTTCTCTAAAGAGTTCAGGAGGAACGTGGAGCCAAGTGTCAAAGTTTAGAGTATTTGGAGACAAAAGAAAGTCTCTGTTCAGTCAGTCCAGAAAGAATCCGGTAACTGTAATGTCCAAAAAGGTCTGACAGAGCGTCCGCTTCAGTCTTTAGTGCTGTAAGTATCCAAAAAACTCCTGGTACCAACCCAGAGAGAAGAGTTTCTCACAGCAGATCTTTAGTTCTTCAAGAGCAGTGAGAAAGAACAAGTTTGGAATCAGTTCACGAAGTTCAAGTGCACCTGATGGAGTCAAAGGACCGACAGGAGCAGAAGATCCAGCTCAGCAGCAGCAGGGTCCAGGTCCATGAAGATCAGAGCGTTCACACGGTTCCTCAGGATCTTCAGGGCCGAGGTCAGATGAAGGTTTCAGACCGTCTGGATGTTCTGTTCATCCGCCTGACGTCTGTTTTAAATGCCTGTTGAAGCTCTTTCGCTCTCAGTGATGGTTATCCCCCTCCTCTCTCTCTCTCTCTCTCTGACTCACTTATTCACTGCATTACTCACCCACTCACTCTCTGTACTTCCTCCCCCGCCCCACCTTCTTTTTTATTAATTGTTTACTGTGCCACTTCTTTCCTCTGTCAGTGATTGAAGTGCTTTTGCACAAAGACCGTCGGTGCTATCTCTCTCACTATCTACTGAAAAGTAGATCCAATAAAACCTGCAGACATTGTCTACTGTGGATGTGAACTGTAATTTGTCTTCGCATGCACAAGCATCACTCTCACATGCAACATATTCCAAGTGACTGGTACAAAGACTGAAAAACAAGTTCCTGCATGGGAGAGAGACCTGCAGTGGAATCATCTACAGGTACTCAAACAACTGCAGCGGAAACTACGACTCGCTTGGATGGTAAAAACTTTATGGTGATAGCGCTGCACAGAGCTATACGAAGCAGCAACGGAGCAAAACACAATGAGTAAACAAGTGTAAACATTTTTTGGTTTAATATAAAACTATGGCAGATTAAAATACAGCGGCAGCCACTGTCTCGATAATTAACAGGAAACATTTCTTTGATGGATCGAGATGACATTGCCGGATGTATGTGCTCTCACTTCCAGTTTGAGTGATTCAACCACTGCAAATTACATTTAAGATGAAAAACTAGCACAGCAGTTTATTTCGACTAAATTCCAAATAACACTCCACCGATACAATGGACCAGAGAACAGCTGCTGGAAATACTGTCAGAGCAAAAATATGTATTTTAATCCTCTCCTGAAAAATGGTTCCAAGAAAATCTACTATTTCATCCTTTCTGAGTGAAGTTGGCTTGAAACGGTTTGAGGGAATGACCGGGCCTTACAATACTTTCATGTCAGTAGGTGTTTGTGGCTTAATGTACTCAGGTATATTGAGTAAAAGTACATAACAGCTGTCGTGTGTATGCACAGTAACACTAGTGGAGCAGATCAGTTCGCCATCAGTCGATATCAATCTGAGCTGTAACGATCACAGTCAGATGGAGGGAGAGGAGCCTGCAGGCAGACACAGCTCTGTCCTGGTTTCACTGGTCGTGTTCAACTTAGTGTGTTGAAGTCGAAGAACACACACGTTAACACAGCCTCACTGTGACGACACAGATATGTTTCACATTCTGGGATTAACTTGTTTCCCGATTCAGGCAGAACTTGGAAATGTTAATATTATAGAGCTGAAGCAAAAGTTGTTTGACTAGAACGAACACATTTTTATTATTATTATTATTATTATAATGATGTAATGAGTTGTTGGGTGTTAAAAATGTCCATCAGTGGTGAAAAATCCCAATTTACTGAAGTGTGATATTGAATTGTGACGTTTCTTCAGACCAATTAGACAAACTGCAAAACCTCACATTTAAAAATCAGCAACCAAAGCGACTGAATTCATCGCAGACTTAAACTAATCTGCGATGAGTTAATGTTGTATTTCGGTTTGTTTTTTAAGAAAGTTTACACAAAAGCTACAGGACACGTCACCAAAAAAACTGCAGGTCCAGGAATTTGTTTTCACTTCTTTTTACTATTGAGAGAATAATTCATGGACCTTGATGAAGAAAATCAAATGTTTTGAGATAATTGAGAGAATGAAGAATCAGCAGAGAATTAATGTAAATGTAAATATCTATATTTATATAAACTTAATGACAGTAAAGCAGCATGCACAAAATCCCCCATTGTGTCAGTGGCTTCCACTGAAAGTTGAGTCAAACGACAATGACCTGTGACATCACACGAAACACTCCTAGCTGACAATAGCTCAGACCTCTGATTCAGATCCTTTGTTAGTAAATCGGACAGCGAGGTGGACGCCCCGAGATATAAACACAGAACAGGAGTCATCTCCTGAGATCAGCTGTTTGTACTGACACAGAAAAACTGATCTCATCCTGACTGTGTATTTGACTTCACAGACACAAACTCTCTGTTCTGTACCAAGCTTAGTGTTTTGATGTTTAAAGCTCGAGAGGACAAAACAAAACCTAATCTGGAGCCGCAAATATAAAAATACAGAAAACACAACAAAATCCCCAAAAACACAATTAGAAATTGGACTTTCACCAAAAACCAACTCATATCACTTGAAAACTACCTGAGAAAACTTCAGAGAAATAAGTCTCTTACTCCTGTTTGCTTCCAAATAAAAGTGTCCGTTTGGTTTACTGAACCAAATCAATAACTGCTCATCAGCCATGTGACCTGAGGGCTTCAGCAGATTTTAATTAACATGTAAAAAAAAAGTCAATAACGACTCTGGTGCCGAACATAAACCTCTGAAGTGAATAAAGGACGACGGGACTCTGGTAAACATCTGGTTTACATGCAGAGCAGCAATGATTAGAACCGCTTAATTATTCCAAACATTACTTTGATAGTCAATGAATATATTTTATAAATGTCAAACATCGTTAATCTTCTCTTGAAGGAGAATTTATTTGTAAACTCAATATTTTCGGGATTTGGACAATTCAAGACATTTGTTGACGGAGAGAAAATGTGATGGAAAACTATGGACCCAGAAAATATATTTAGGATAAATGAACATTTGATCTAATTTTCTTTGCCTCCACTCCAGATATAATTTTAAATATGAACCCCTTGTCTTAACCTTTGACCTTTAATCAGAAAGAGTGGTCTCCAGTTGCTGTATTTTCAGTAAGAGCACAATGTGACTGTGTGTGACTCAATGAGCCGCAGGGAGGAACAGTGGAGAAACAATAGAGTGTAATTCATTCCTGCTTCGTTATCTGGCAGCGTTGGTTCGTACCAGCATCAAACTCCCGGTTTGTTTGGGTCTGTTTGTCGCACTGCAGCAAATTGAACAGGGTGGACATCCTGTGTTTGACGGAGCAGAGAGGGGAACGCCCGGGAAGGAACGGGCTGCTGGCAGGGAACTAAAAATACAGACACACACACACACTGAAGCCCCCCGAGGGTCCACAGGTACAATAAGCCACAGTCAGTGCTCTGGCTTCTTCCTATTACTACATCTCTATATATAACCTAACGCCACATATAGAATCTAACGCCTACCCTTGAATCAATCAACTCACATCCTACAAAATGATCATACAGATGAATCAACGTGTCTCTAAACAATATAACTCTGAAAAAAGTTAAGTCGCTTCAAACTGGCCCGGGGTCACTGAAGTGACTCGAAACAACAAAGAGACACAAAAGACGACTACAAAGAGACACGAAATGAAAAAGAGACGCACAACAACCACAGACTCTGAAAACAAAGATACCCAGAGATTTAAACAAAGACTCGACATTAACAAGGAGACAAAAAACAACGAGAAAGATCCAACAACTGCAAAGAGACGCAAACTGAAATCAAAGAAACGTGACTCCTCTCCAGAGAGACGTGAAGCAGCTCGAATCAATCAGCTACAACTGGACTTAAATTGACCAAACATAGGTTTTAAACATTAAATCAAACAACAGCAAAGTGATGCAAGAAAGACTCAAACAAAGAATAAAAGTGTGTTTTTGTTACTTTCTCTGTTGTTCCATGACTTTACTTTTCTGTTGCAGGATTGCATTAGTTTGAAGAAACACTTGGTAGCTTTGACTGAGCAGCAGCGCCCTCTGCAGCCACATGTGGGGATTTATTCTTGTCTTAAGTGATGAAGTGGTTTTCCCACTCACTGATCTGATATTACCCATGATCCCCTGCTGCCTGAACCAGAGGAACTGCTGCCGTAACAAATCCACCAACATCTTCATATGTCAAACAAGTCAGATTGTACAACATCTACATGTTTAACTTCAGAACAGAACACGTCTTCACCAACGAAGCTTTTCTGAGACATCCCAACACTTTGCAGTCCACAGTCAAGAGAAGTGAGTTTAGAGGAGCTGAACTTACGTTGATGTCCAGACTGCAGAGACTGAGGGAGTCTGCATCTCTGCTCGCCTGCTTCCTCTTCTTCTGCAACACACAGGAACACAGCGAACATGAGTTACAGTGATTATTAAATGAGTCTGTTGTGTTAAACCATAGATGGACGACACGGTGGCTCCCACAATGTCATCGGAGCAAGATGACAGCATTCGGATATTTTAGCTTCATTTCTGGATAAAGGAAGGAAGTGGAGACACGTCGTCCATCTTATTTTTACAGTCTGAGAGAGGAAGTAACTCTGGCAGCTTGTAGCTCATCGCTTTGGTAACGTCTGTCAGTTTGCATCATTCATCGCCATCCAGGACCTGATTCAACTTATTCCTGGGCCTCCAATAATTCTTCTGCTTTAAAAATACTTCTTCACAATTTCCCAACATGACGTCCTCAAATCTCCAGTTTAGTCCAATACCTCAAAAAACTGAGTTCAATATAAGAGGAGACCAAGAAACAATAAAAAAAAAATTATAATCATCGATTAGGGGCATGGCAACTTCAGTGGTAACCATGGCAACCACAGTTTAATTGGAGGGAAGCTGCGCAGGTTTACGCTACGAGACAATGAACAAAAGTTATAGTTTGCTGCCATGACGACAACAGGAAGTCTGATGGAGCAGGTCAGCGAGGACAAACAGCTCAGGAAAAAGGAAAAGGAGAACAAGAGAAAAAAGGAGGAGGAGGGAGGATAGGAGAGGTGGTGAGTGAAGGTGGGAGGACAAGAGAGGAGCCAGAGGAGCCAGAGGAAAGTCAGGAAAGACGAAGGAAAAGGGTGGGGGGGGGAGAGGAGGAGGACCAAAGAGGAGACAATTGGAGAAGTCAGGAAAAAAGGATGCGAGAAAGGATAAACAAAAGGGGAGCAAAATGGATAAGAGGAGAAGAAAAGATGGAGGAGAAAAGTAAAAGAGAAGACAGGTGGGGAGGGGAAAGTATAGAGGAGGACACATGGAAAGAAGGAGTAAGAGGGAAAAAGGTGAGCAGAAGAAAGAAAGAAAGGAGAGGTGGCGAAATAGGGAAGGGGGAGAAAGAGAGGAGACGAAGAGGGGAAAAGTAAAAAAGACAAGTCAGAAAAGAAAAGGGTGAGAGGAGGAGAACAGAAGAGGAGATGAGTGGATTCAGATAGATTAAACGAGAGGAGAAGAAAAGAGGGACAAAAGAAAAGTAGAAGAGAGGACAGGTGAGGAGGAGAGAGGAGGACACAAGGAAACGAGTAGAGGAAAGACAGAGATGAGATGAGAGGTGAAAGAGGAAGGGAGGGTAGAGAAGAAGAGAGGAGCAGAGGGGGAGAGTGGCTGAGGAGGAGGAGAAAGGAGAGGCAGGAGAGGAGGAGAAGGAGGAGAGGAGGAGAGGAGGATGTCGAGATCAGCGTAGTGCGGTGGAACAATAGCAGGAAGTCTGCTGTTTGTTCAGCATTGTGTTGAGACGTTGTTGTTGCCCGGACGTTATATAACCTGGCAGACCTTACCTTTAACTCACCGTTGCTATAGAAACCAGTGCAAAGGAAAAGGAGGAGTCTGCTCCTCCCGTCCATATAAGGTCTGTCCTCTAAATAACCCCTTGTGTTGAGACGACTGAGTTCAACCTGTGCAAAGCTCCATTCAAATGAATCTGAATTTAAGGTTTCAGCTGGACTCACATTGTGCATTTAGTTTATCAAATGTTTTATCATGATATTTTTAATTCTCTAGGGATCAACTGATGGAACAGTGAGTTATTCTGTAAACTTTCCTGATGCAAGTTCTATAAACTTGGTTGTGTTTTCTTTTTATTTACTGTTTATCTATAATAAAATGAAACCTTTCAGTGTCCAGCCTCAATTACATTTCTTTGTCGTGAGCGACAAGCGACATCACAGGCTGGAGATGTATTCGCTGTTCAGCCACGTGTTTGCATCTTGAGCGTAATTCTTCACGCACTTACCATGTACTAAACGTGTTTCTGGAGTATTCCACTAGAGGGCGCATCACAGAACTCATACTATATAAAACGTACGGATCAGAGTGTGGACACCCGACCTGAGCGAGCTGGGTTTGGACAAAGAATTTTAAATGTTATTGGAGCTCAGGTCGTCATATTTGCTGTCTACTGGATTTTTGACACTGCACGTGTCAGTAATCACCGCCCCCTACTGGTCATGTCCATATAGCATCTTGCGGACGTGCACGGCCGATGCAGCGAACAGACACGGGATGATTCGTACACATTAGCATCGTAAAAAGTCAGTATGTTTTCAGCCTTGGGAATCAGTGCCAATCTTTTCAATACAAATATATCGGTCAACATCCTGTTAGCTTTTTGTACATTTAAAATTATCATCTGCATCCACAAATCCAATCTGTTGCAAATATACAGCTTCATGGATGCATGCGTGACAACTGAGGTGTGAGGTCATTAACATCATTCTAACAGAACACACACTTCACTGAGCAACATTTTCACTTCGCCCGACACAGTTTGAGCATCTGATAAGAAATCGGACAGTTACAAATATAAAATATGAAACAAGAAACACATCCTAGAACAACGAGACAATGATTTCCTGTCCTCGTCTCTGTGAGGGATCAACCCGAGAACCTTCAGAACCTTCAGAACCTTCACTCTGACTGGAACTCACCCGGTAGTGAACAAAGAGACAGCAGCCCATCATCAGGACCAGATGTGCTTCTCAATCCCACTTCAAGTGTTAATGAATCTCTCTCTGCAAACATCTGCTGCTCCTCTTCCTCCGGGTCACCTCGCTTTTTTTTTACCCCAAAGTCACATCAGCTCTGCTTCCTTTTCTCCTCCTCGTGTGAAAGTCAACATCTGCGATCTCTTCCCTCCTCCTGTGGAGTCCTGACTTCTCTCTCCTCCTGCACGGTCACATTGCTTTCTCCTCTTTCTCCTTTGCTTCCTTTCTTCTCTTCCTCCTCCACTTTATCTCCTCCAGTGCTTCTTCTCCTCCTCACTCAGACGTCTGTCTCTCCTCTCCTCTTGTTTTCTTCCTCCTCTGTTGCCGCCTTCCTCCCTCGTCCTCCTCCGACTCATCAGGTCACAGTCTGAGTGGATCTACAGACCCTCAGGAAAAGGAACCCTTCACAATGTGTGTGTGTGTGTGTGTGTGTGTGTGTGTGTGTCACTCTGTTCCTATTGGACAAACAGGAAGTGACGGGGGGGGGGCAGGCATCTATTATTAGGAGCTACAGGAGACATGGAGACACCGGCGACAGAGACTTTGACATAAACAACATAAACTCTGGTTTATGACGATGTTGATTTTGAAGGGTCACTGTCAATGTTGGACAATTAATTGTTTTAGGTCCACACTCAGATTGTCGTTTTCTAAACCTGCAGAACTGTCCAAACGTTTTAGGCTTTTTCATTTATTCCTACAAGGTGCACAAAACAAAACTCAATTAAACCCATATTTCCTGTGACCACATTTTGTCTTTAGAGCAGCTCCAGTTCTCCTCGGCTCACTTGCACAGTTTTCCAAAGTGCTTGAGCGGCTGTGGCTCGGGAGGTAGAGCGGGTCGTCCCTTAACAGGAAGGTCAGTGATTCCGCGTGCTGAAGCGTCCTCGGACAAGAAGCTGAGCCGCACGTTGAGACGCTAGTGTGTGACTGAGGCGTGAAGGAAAGTTGTTTTTAGTTTAATCCCGGAGAACTCGCCGCAGCTGGTTTATAAATTTAGTCTCCGTGTCTTCATTCAATCCCAGACTGACTCCATGATGATGGCGGCTCTGTGAGGGACACACCACCTCCTGCAGGACTCCTTGTTCTCTGACAAGGTTCTGTCCCTTGTTGAACTTTTGAGGGACTTTGTGTTTGGACTTTGGATTGAAGTTGTGCACTTGCAGTTTGATTGATTTGTTCGTGTGCAGTGAACAAAATGAGACATTTGAAATGGAGGATGTGTTCTTACCCCTCTGAGGCTCCAGCCGTCAGGAGAGAAGAGAGAGGGAGGAAGTTTTCGTCTGACGCTTCGACCTGATGGAGGAAACAAACACTTTAGAATACAGTGGTTTAGGCTTGAGTTTGAACACAGCTCCCCCTGGTGCTTTCTGTCTGCCAATACACGTAAACCACAAACGTTATCTGACTTTAGTGATCTCCACTGTTTTATTATTATTATTGTAATTTGTTTGATTTGTTGAGTGAGAGTATCTACGCTGAACGATTCTGAATCTGATTCTGAATCTGATTCTGAAGGATCTTTTTACTTGTTTTAATCTATTAATAATTTCAACCACACTTACAAAAAAACAGACAATAAACAGGATGATTGTTTTGTGAAGAGCAGAGTCTACTAATAGTAATACAGCAGTAAAATAACAAATGACATAGACACAGAGGACACGTTAAGTCCAAGAGAGACATCATAATGCTGAAGTCCTGTTTCCTGCCCTCCGTCACACACGCAACAAATCACCAACCTCTGCACAGCTTCATCTCTAACGTCCCAACATCATCTGACTCTCCGATTGGGTTTTTCTTACAGCAATGCTCTCTGGGAGTCGCAGGCCTGAAAGTTGTTCTGAGCTCAGTCTCGTCACGTTTCATATCATGAGGAGGATTTCTTTTTTCACTTCAGTGTCTCATTGTTTCTCAACGATGATTCAACCGCCACACGCCCAGTTACCACCGCAGAGGAGGTGACTTCACCTCCTCGACCAGCGTCTGGAGCACAAACTCGGCTGAACAACAGTCTGCACGTGGCAGGACTTCACAGAGATCATCACACGGATGATTTGACGTCCAGTGCGTCAGATCACGACCTCAGCTCGGCAGATGCAGACGACTGGTGTCAACAATCAGACTTTCATCCTAACAGAGGAGACGTTACAACACGAGCCCCGATGCGTCTAAACAAACGTCATAAATGGACGTTAAAATGTTTTTCCATTGATTATCGTTAAACTGGGCGTTGCGTTACATAAGGGCTCATGTATTTGCAGCCGTGAGCAGCAGGTTGACGGCTCAGTAGCTGCTCGAGAGTTTGTGATCACCATTTTTATCTGCCTGTTATCTGCGGCGGTTCTATTCAACTAGTTTTCACCTCAAGAATCAACAAAATGTGTAATTTGCCAAACAGAGTCTTAAACCTCTGAGGTAATAAATGATAATGATGACATCAAGTCTGAGCTGCACCATCTCTCCCACCTTGACGCATGGTGGTCTGAGTTTAAGGCACAAAGCTCTCAGGACATCTACGAACCCCAACCACACGGTGTCAGGTCAGAGACTGTGTTTTATTATGTGAACTAATGGATCAATTACAACAAAACTTGGTGGAAGTTTGTGACGTAAGTCAGGAAAGAACCCATTAAACTTTGGTGCAGATCCGGATCAGGGTTTGGATCCAGGACTTTCTTCCCACATTGTGAAAAAGGGCGTTTCTCGTCATAGTCGTTGATTTCCCGGGGGAATACTTGAGTGTGTGACATTTGGTGCAGATCCAGATAAAAATCCAGATCTTGTTGATGTACATGTGGTTTTTAATGGAAGTCACAAATAGAGCTGCAAACCTGTAACTAGCGGATTCGTCATCAGTTTTAGAATATGTCCAAACCAACATGACGGATCGGTGCAGAATCTAAGAGCCATGAGCTCTGGTGAGTGACGTCCTCACTGCTGAGTCTGTCTGATGACGAACCAGAAGTCAATCAAGAGACCTGGAACCTACAAACTGACCAGAGCTTTATAGCCTCCTCTCCCTGTGTGTGTGTGTGTGTGTGTGTGTGTGTGTGTGTGTGTGTGTGTGTGTGTGTGTGTGTGTG